GAGAGAGAGAGAGAGAGAGAGAGAGAGAGAGAGAGAGAGAGAGAGAGAGAGAGAGAGAGAGAGAGAGAGAGATGACGACTTGTGCCAACCGTATATGCTTTCTCAGAGGGAGTATATACGGTTGGCACGTGGGAGTGGCTGCCAACTTGTGTCAAGCACAAGCCATCATCTCTCTCTCTTTCTTTTGCGCGCGCGCGCAAGCGCATTCGCGCTCCACCCTGCTCCTTTTTGTCATCCCCGTTCCTACTTCAAACGAGGGTGCGTGGCGGTCGGGGGAGAATCGGGGCCGCGTGACAGCCGGGGGAAGAACGGAGAGGCACGGTCATGGGTAGAATTCCTCTGTCACCTGTTACTGACAAAGGTTGCGCGGTTGCAGGTGACCGCTCGCGGTGGGGAAAGTTATGAAACCTCCCCGCGACGAAATGTATCACCAATGAGCTTAGCTCAGTTGGTACACCCATGAACTGTTGAAAGACAGACCCGAATCCAGATGGAACCAGATGAACCAAATTCCTGAATTACCTGGGGCCAGTCCGTGTCGATATCTCAAGGCTGATGATATCTCAAGGCTGTCGCCCTGAAGAAAGAAAGGGGGAAAACGCAGGAGATGCGTATCGTGTTTGAAAAAAAAAAAAAAAAAAAAAGAAACCTTCGTATCCATTTCCCCCCAAACGGGGAAAAAGGTGCCGCAGGCCCCAAAATCACTTTCTGCGTCATTTTTGCACCCTGCAAAACACTTTCCCACCATTTTTACACAGCGGCCGTTACTGTTGAAACGGTTTTCACCCACGTACAGTAGACCCCGAGAGTTGAACCTGTGACCTGTGTATTCGTAGACAGTTGGTAGGTCTGTCGTAGGTCCGTAGGTAGCAGGGGTTTGATCTGTAGATCTTTAGAATAGAAGTCTTAGCAAGTTCCAAAAGTCTAGCTGTAGTCCTTCTAGAAGGTCGGCAAGTGGGCAAGTGGTCAAGTGGCGAGGCAAGTGGTGGACTACACTGCAGTGCAATTGCAGTACGACGACGGTAGGATAGCAGTAAGTCCACAGTCAGTGAGCCGTAAGGTCCAGTCAGTCCCAGTCCGGTCCAGCAAGTACCACGGGGGACTGTGAGCACCATGGGCCGATGGCAAAGGGCAGACCAACGAGTTTCCGAAGTATAAATCAAGAGGCAGCGCCCAGCCTTTCATTCATTCCTGCGTGAGCCATGCGGAAGCGCTGCCACAGCGACTTGTGCAAGGAGGTTTGCAGTGAGCCCGGAGGACGCAGTGGGCAAGAGAGAAGGAGCTTAGTATAGCGATAGGGTAGAGGCAGCCATAGCTGCCATAGCTGTAGTTAGTGTGAAGTGTGAGCGTGTATGTGTGAGTGTTCAGAGTTACGCATGTGGGATATCCAGGGTGATCCAGTGTGTGTGAACAGTGAGTTGTTTGGGCGCTGAGTCGACATCGCCAATTGAGAGTGAACTCGTATCTGGAAGCCATATCTCTGAGTTTTGAGTGGGCGCATGTCGCCAGTTTGCTGCGCTGCTGTTTACATGCATGAAAAGTGTGAATAAGAACGAGTTTGATTGAATTGGTATCCGAGCTGGTACCCGCTATTCCATGCGGGCCGTCGTGTGCAGGGCCTGACGCACCATAGCAGAGGTGGTCGCCGAGGGGCATAGTCCGCCATAGCGGACCCGAGGTTGGAGAAGCCGCCGCGCACCTGCGAAGAAGACCACGACG